TGCTGAGTCATGAGATAACAAATCTTGTTATTTTGGAATAATAAAATTTGTCTTAAATAATTGTTTAGGCTATTAGGGGGCACATGTTTGAACAAACAGAGAAAGAAAAAGTGTTCTGGATAAAAAAGGAATGAGCATTTTAGGGTGCATTATGCTTGCACCCTATGTGTGACTTTTCCAACATTTGAAATCATCTTTCCAGTTACTGGGGAGAAAAAAAGTATGAAAAGAAGCTCTGACAGCATGTGGTAAAAGACAAAATTATGCTATGGTGAAGATTTAAAAAAAGGGGTGGGCTGATTTGGTAATATCTCTGTGGTTTAAAAGGTGCTTTGTACTGTACTAATATATGTGCTTTTGGGTTTTTTTTTTGGCCAATAGGTCAGTCCATAGTGGGATGTAAAGCCATTCTTGTTGGTGACCAAGTCTTTGTGGTGGTTGCACAGCTCTTTGGTGGCTCACACATTTACAAGTATGACGAAAGCTGGACAAAGTTTGTCAAATTCCAGGATATTGAAGTATCTCGCATTTCCAAGCCAAATGATATAGAGCTTTTTGAGATAGACAGTGAAATGTTTTTTGTCATAGCAGATAGCTCTAAAGCAGGTTTGTCAACAGTGTACAAGTGGAATAACAAAGGATTTTACTCATACCAGTCCCTTCATGAGTGGTTCAGGGACACCGATGCTGAGTTTCTTGATATAGATGGGAAATCACATTTAATCCTTTCTAGCCGCTCCCAGGTTCCCATTATACTCCAGTGGAACAAAGTTTCCAAAAAGTTTGTCCCACACAGTGAAATCCCCAACATGGAAGATGTCTTGGCTGTGAAGAGTTTCAGGATGCAAGATAACCTGTACATCACGCTCACAAGATTCATTGGTGACTCCAGAGTTATGAAATGGAATAGCAAACAGTTTGTGGAGATACAGGCTCTTCCATCCCGAGGAGCCATGACGCTGCAGCCTTTCTCCTTCAAGAACAATTACTACCTAGCCTTGGGAAGTGACTATACTTTCTCCCAGATATACCAGTGGGATGGTGAAAAGAAGCTCTTCATGTTATTTAAAGAAATCTACGTGCAAGCACCACGGTCTTTCACGGCTGTGTCAACAGATCGAAGAGATTTTTTCTTTGCCTCTAGTTTTAAAGGAAACACTCAAATATTTGAACACATCATCATTGACTTGAGTTTATGAAAAGCTGCTGGAGTGAAATTCATGTGGAATGACATTTATACACGAGCAAAACAAAGACAGACCTTTCCAAAACCAGGGTGCACCTATGGAGTGTGATGACATTTTCTGAACTTTTCAAACTTGCATATTAATCAGGGATTGCATTTACTTGGTTACTGCATGGCATGTCCGTTTTATCCTTTTTCAAAGACACTTTGTAATCTGCAGTCATTCAGAGGTGAGTGCAGTACGTTAGGATTAATGTTGACATCTAAGAAAATGATGTAAATTTTATCCAGAAAACTACCTTGAATTGAACATCTCATAAAGAAAGTGAAGAGTAAGCCATACAAAGCATAGAAACGATCTTGACTCTTAAACTAACATGTTAGTAATGAATTTAAGATTAGAGCCAGTTCTTCACGGTTGCTGATAAATTGTAAAAGCGAACAGTAACGTTCCAGAACACACTTTATTTTGGTTTCTTGAAGTCTGTCTTCAAAATCTGTCTTTGTGAAAGTCCGAGGCATCATTTTAATTTGTTGTAGATTAAAGGGAAAGTCAAATTCTATTGCCATTTTTCTTCCATTATTCACTATTTCAGCAACAAATTGTGCATAACAAATAGCCGAGCCCAAAGTAACTGGGTAGCCAGGAAAAGAAGGGTATGTCAGTTCTAGACAGTAAGGTCTTAACAAGTTAACATAGACAGAAAATAACAAAGGTGTCCTTGGTGCCATGATTGAATCAACTACAAATTCTGTCCACTTTCTGTTTTAATAGGTATTCCAGAAATTCACCCCATTTTGCTCTAATTCATACTCTTCTTGATGATCCCAGTAGATTCTGGGATGTTTTAAAAGTAAATCTGTTGTGATCTCTCCTTCTAGAAGGCACAGCTCAAGCATAGCCTGAAACACACAGCTACATTCATGTACTCCGTGCTGTAGCTTGTCTGTATGCAATGAGATGATTTATTCTCCAGCGTTCTCCCCCCAGCACAGCTCACAAGCAATAAATTCAGGTTTTGGTTATCACAAGCTGTATTTGGGGAATCCTCCTTCTGGCTGAGGTCTAAATATGACTTCTGTATCACCAAGTCTTTTGAAACCAAGGCAGCTGGAGCTGTTTCAGGCTAGAGCTAACCCTGGCTCCAAGAAGAAGGGTTTCCTCTTGGTGGCTCCAGGCTTTCACTGGGTTGCCAAACCACTGAAGGTTAAACAGGAGGATGTGAACAGACCGTACCACATTCATATTTTGGGTGGCTACAGACTAAGGCATTCAGTCATCCTAAATAGGGCGGTCCTAGCACACAGAGCCTCTGTCAGGACAACAGCAAGGGACTGTTTTCCTGGAAAGGCTCTCCACCATCCTTACCCAACAAAGCTGTGTATCAGAGCCCTTGTTTGTTCACTTACACAATATGTTTCTTTAAGTTTTCACACCACTTAGCATATTAGGTTGTTTATCATATCTTGCTGCTGCACTGCTGCCTTGGATAATAGAGAGGCTTTGCATAAAGCAGGCGGAGCAAAGGAAACTGTCCTTTATTCCTTCATACTCGGGGCTATCTCACCATCTCTGTGCTCAGCGAGCTTCAGGTTTTTGCCTTGGACATGTGAAACTTGGTCTGTTGTCACAAATAGAGATGTTCTCACAGGCTTTCCAACATCCAAGATGTGAAGAGTGCTGCAGAAAAGGATTATGCAGAAGGACTCCTGTGAGGAGTCATAACCTACCAGTGACCTGGAATATCACAGCCTTCCCCAACGTTTGCCTTGCTGCCATGAAATGAAATTATTACTGTCAGAGACATAACTAATTTTATTTTGTTTTTAAATGACATGTTAATTTTTTTCCTATAGAGGTGCTCATCCTGGTTTTATTTTTCATTACACTGACAACTTAGCCCATCCAGCTATCCAAAGTATTGCTCTCTGCCTTCCAAATCCCAATGTGGTGTCAGTCCCGTTGGTTCACTCAGACCAGTAGATGCAAACCAACCCTCTGCAGCAGGTTTTAGCAATACCTCTCCCAGGATTAAGCTAACACATGACAAAACGAGGAGATGATTCACATGTCTGCCAGGGAATGCAATTAGTTACCATGTTCCCAGTTTACTTTTTAAAGCGGGTATGGCTGGCAAGCCATGTTTCTTTAAACTGTGTTGTGGGAAGGCATTTTTTTATTGCTTTTCTGTCCAGTCCACATGTTTAAATAGAGTCAGACATTCTGCCAAGGAGGGGCATTTCTCAGTGCACCAGCACTTTCTTTTAGGGCTCACAGCTAGTACCATTCACTCAGCAAGGGGCATCAGTCAAAGAGCTAAAAGCTAGTTTAGAGAAATTGGATCTTGATGTTTTTTACTTGAAGGGAAGGAAGAAGATGGAGGGAAAGGGCTTGTGTACCCAATACCAGGAGATTGTACTGTTTTGAGAACCAAGGGGATTTTGAGACTTGGCTATCAAGTTGAATTAAGTTAAAATGGTCTCTGCAGAGACAGGCTTAATAAAGAGGATAAAGCGATCCGCAGGAGTCTAGCTCAATCACATGGGACCAGAAGAAGAAAGTGAGGGAAATGAATTCTGCAGGCAGGCTGCCGCTTCTGCTGAGTAGCTGTGTTAGTTGGTCAGAAAGCCCAGCTCAGCATCCCTCCCAGCTTCAGGAGGAGCCTGGAGTCAGACGCTGGCCCACCTGTTCCGCTGAGTTAGTGCACAGGAGGTCAAAGCAGCTAAGAGGGAGGGCAAAAAGCACCAGTTGATGAAGAAAAGGGGTTACGGTACATTTCGCAGTACTAAACAAAGGCAGGGTCTCAAAAACAGCCCTGTTCTGCTCTTCCTGCTCCCAAGGAAAAGCTGCAGGATGCAGCCATAACAACAGAAATTGCTAAGCATTGAAAATACTTTCTGCCTTTCCAAGTGCAACAACAGTTTTGTCTCTATGGCCTATATTCTGTAATAGAAATTGTTTTGAATAGTAAATAAACTATGCATAGTCGTGATTTATTGCAACTGTTAGACCATCAGGCCAGTGAGAAAGGATAACAGAACATGCCACCTGGTAATTTTTAATGTATTCTAAAATACGTACAACTATGTAAAGAACAGTAGTTTATATAAGCATAGATTTAATACAATGTGCTAGCTACAGTGGGAGCATTTTAAGGCTGTATATACATTGAGCTTTTTTTAGTAGAGAGGAGCTCATGCAGTCTATGGTACTGACACATGTATGTACTCTTTCAATATACGAATAAAATGTAGTTAATGAGACTAATAGTGGTGCGTCGTGCGTGTTAAAATATCCACGCTGTGAAGATCCACACTGCCAGAGGGATGGACAGGGTGGGCAAACGGGTCCTTGTCCATTCATGAGTGGTTTTGGCTTTTGAAAATGTGGAGGAAGCCATGCTCAGCTTAGTTAAATTCAGTTTCTGTGCCTGAGTAGCTCGGACCTCCAAGGTTTTGCTGTTCCCTGGCTTTCCCCTTCACTCTTATAGTGTTAGCAAGTATGTAATGCAGCTATTACTACGATTTTCGATTCATAACTAAACTCAGTTGTTTCCTTTCTTTCTTTCCTACCGCAAACCCAAGAGATCTTAATTTTCAAAATAATTTTCAAAATGTAAGATACTTAAGCAGGTTTCTTACATGCAGAGTGGATAGAAACCAAGCCCTAAAAATTAATCCCTAGATTTTCAGATCTTCACTGCGGGGCCTCTTTAAGATTTGTTAAATTTTACTGAATCATTAGCATTTACTCTGAAATTGCAAAAATAAATATAAATCTAGCAACACTGAATACATTTGATTTAAAGCAAGCCTTAAGCATTATCCACTGATCCAGCTAGTCACTAACACAGGGAATAATTCTTTTTGTTTTCTCTTCTTTCTTCAGAGACAGCGCAATTCTCTGTAACTAATTATAGGCTTGTGCAATCAAAGACATGTCTGACATACCATAATGGATGCAATTGCTCCGGGATCATTGCTTTCCTTTTGGGTATTCCACTTTTTTATGAGTCAGCAGCCCTTGTGGTGTGGTTCACTGAAACTCCATCATAGCTCAAACATCAGCTTCAAATCAGCACCATTTCCCCACCTGCCCTCCCCTGATTTCTTTGCCTTTGGCAGGTGAACATTTTTTTTCCACCCTTTACCACCTTTTTCAAATCTTCCTCGGAAACCTTCTATTCTTCCATCTTGAAAGTCACAGCAAGGTACCAGGAGAAAAGCATTCCCAAAGAGCAATGTGGGGATGGCCACTCCTCTGCAGATTTCAAGGGGAAGACAGAGTAGGCTCTTTTTGAAAGTTCAAGCTGAAGGCAGATGTGTAAGAAACAGCTGCAAGAGTCCCAGTCACCCCCTCTAAGTCCCACTCCCTCCCATCCTACAGACCTGAGCTGCTACCACCGCTCCCTCTTGCCAGCAATGCTCACAGCCAGGCTTTTTTTTCACACCCTAACCCAGAAGAAATGGAGCTGAGCTGTTAACGCTGGTTTGTTGGGTTTTTTTCCTAGTATCTGGAAACCAGCCCCTTAACCCCTCTTGCATTCCCCATACAGTCCAGCCCCCTTTTTGAGAAGCTGCAGGCTAGGCGATTTAATGGGCTTCAAAACTGACCTCCAAAATCTGAAAAAAACAGCTGGCCACTTGGTGTTAGAGCCTCCACAAAATAAAAGACAGACTGTAAAGCATTTCAAATGGTAGCTACATAAACTTAATCCATCCCCCAGTACCACTTTGCCCATAAGCCATTGCCGTTTCTGACACAGAGTTGCGTGACGATTTGCAGAGGTGTTTTGCAAAATCTGGAATGGGAGGAAAGTTACTGTAAGATGAGGTCCATGTCATGAAGCACTAGGGTAATTCTGTTACCTTTAGGTCTGAGTGGGTGGTTTGGAGCCATCCATACACATGGTGGGTAGCTGCATACGTTGCAAGTTGGATGCGATTCCTTACAAAGCCACGCACAGCAAAATCAAAGGCAATCTGAACCTAACGTCATGGTTCCGGGTGAAGAAAATGTTGAAGGAAAGCAGCTGAAGTTGCACAGTGCCACCCTGGAATGATTCACAGAGGGGTGTGGTGCACTTTGACAAGCAGGCAAGGGAGATTTATTTTTTACAATCTCTGGGATGGGTTGAGAGAGATGATATGGGTCTTGGGAAGACTGGATGAGCAATTTCTATAGGCATCTCTTTACTCCAGTTTTGCCATGTCAGTAAAGTAGCCTAAATGGAGTTTGGTGGAAAGCAAGGAAGGCAGGTGGCAGAAGTTTAATGTAAGTAATATTGAAGTAGAGATTAGAAAACTAGGGATGGTGAAGCTGTAGACAAATGTTTAGTTACCTTGAGGGAAACAAATCACATTTTCTAAGCA